AAGAGGCAAACCATTGAAGGGCAAGCCCCTGAATCCCTACATCGGCAAGGCGATGGGTCAGCAACTGGTGGTCGACAGTGTCAAACGCTGCCGACAGATCTAACAGCACCAGTGCGGCCACACCGCCCTGATCCAGATGTCTCCGGAGATCGTCAGTCAGGGCGACCAAAGCCGTCTCGGTCCCGTGACCTGGGCGGAAGCCGGACCTTGTCAGCATCAAGCCGTTGTGGCATTTTTAAGTGGCCTAGGTAAAGGTAAAGGTTCCCTTGCTCGAAAGCCAGTCGAATCCGACTCTAGGGTTGCGGTGCTCATCTCCGTTTCAAAGCCGAAGAGCCAGCGCTGTCCGAAGACGTTTCCGTGGTCATGTGGCCGGCATGACTAAACACCAAGGCGCACGGAACGCTGTTACCTTCCCACCGAAGTGGTACCTATTTATCTACTTGCAATTTCTTGCTTTCGAACAGCTAGGTTGGCAGGAGCTGGAACTAGAGACGGGAGATCACTCCGTCATGCGGCACACTCAGGTCTCGAACTGCTGAACTACTGACCTTCCACAGCCTGCAGTTCAGCGTCGTAACCACTTGAGCCACTTGGCCTAGTTTACTGGTGTCCTCAGGTTGGACCTGTGGGTGCTGGACCTACTAGTTTGGGCCTGTGACAGAGCAATGTAGCAAGGTGAATGCCATATGAGGAATCTGCCTGGATCAGACCCAGGGACTACTTATTCGAGCATCCTGTTTCCAGTCGTAGTAGCCAAGTGCCTCTGGGAATGAAAAAGAGCAATCATTTCCTCTTGTTTCTAGCACCAGGTATTCAGAGATACCCTTCCTCTATACATAGAGAGTCAATGGAGCTATCTTGGCTTATCCTTCATGAATTTGCCTGAATTAAAATGGTGGCTGGCTATCATTGCTTTTTGTGAAAAAATGATATAAATTGTGTATTGCAAGATGAACTTTCTGTCATCTGTCTGGCATCAACTTCATTTGATTTCACTGGCTACAAGTTCTAATGCTGAATATAGCAAGGTACTGATCTGGTAGCCATTTTTATTCTTGGTTTTTGTACTGTTGTTGCCTTTGGTTTTGTTTCACCTCATTTTCACTTCTTTCATTGTTGATTCATTTGTACCTTGTATTCCATTAATATGGAATATGCCATTTCTCAACATTTCTGGGCCATTTCACACTGTATGTTAGACCAGGGGTGGCCAAACTGTGGCTCGGGAACCACATGTGGCTCCCGGCAGGGCAGCTGGGGAAGCAAAGGGGAGGCATGCCTCCCAGATCGGTCTTCCTTTCCCCAGCCAGTGTTTCCCTTCTAGGGTAGGCTTGAGGCAGGCAGGAGCAGATAAAGATAGCAACTTTAGCTTTAAATGCATTCTCAAAGCCCCCCCCCCCCCCCCCCCCCACACATCCATCACAAAAAAAAACTATAATTATCAATATATATTTTATCCCTTTTGTTTTTATTTTTGGCAGTCTCATTTAATGTTAATAAAAAGCAAATGTGCATATTTTCCAATAAAAACGTGTGCGCAATATTTGTTCATGTCATGTGGCTCTCAAACATCTGACGTTTATTCTATGTGGCTCTTCCGTTAAGCAAGTTTGGCCACCCCTGGGTTAGACCTTAAGGACCTGAAAGGATTTGTGGGGGAGGGGAAATCCCAGTCCCACCTTCCTCCATACAGACCCCTATTTCTTCCCACAACCTCCTCCCTCCCTCTCCTCCCTCCCACCACACTTAGGTTTTTGAAATGGGGCTATGTGAATGAAACCAAACAGCATCATCTCAATGACTGAAAAACTTCACCCACCCCTGAGCCCTCCATTTGTAACATTTGTAAACCTTTGGGTTTTTATCTTTAACTAGGAAAAAGGCCCGTTGTGGAAATAAATACAATGGTCTCTAGAAAGAGGCTCTGGGCGGGTGCCCTGGCCTTGGACACTCAGTGTCAGTTTGCTGTGGGTATAATGACACGGAGTCCACCATTTTCTCCAGAGGAATTGATCTCTGCTACCTAAAGAACAGTTGTAATTTTGAGTGATCTCCAGCCCTCACCTGGAGATTGGCAACGATGGTTCCCCAGAAGGGAATGGTTGGTTTGGTGGAGTCTATGGCTTTGTGCCTGTCCGAGGTCCCACACCTCCTGAAACCTCACCCTCTCCAGGCTCCATCCCTCACATCTCCAGGAATTTCCCACCTGGAGCTGGCAACCCTGTCTCCTTCCCAGCCAATCCAACCTACCTTTATTTCCCCCTCACTCTTCAGCTTTCCACCCCACACACACCTGCAGCCTCTCCCATGCTCTGAAGCCCTGACTGCTACGTCACATTGGCTGTCATACGGGGGCCATCTCAGCAGGATGTAAGGACACAGAGTCCACCATTTTCTCCAGGGGAACTGATCTCTGCCATCTGGAAAGCAGTTGTAATTCTGAGTGATCTCCAGCCCTCACCTGGAGATTGGACACATTTTACCTCAGAACAGCAAACTGTTTAGAATGTTAGAGGCAAAAGCCAATCAAGTTGCATATGCAAACGACCTCTGTGTTCTGACTGGCTATGGGGGGAAGAGGAACAGCAAACTGTTTAGAATGTTGGAGGCGATACTCAAGCAGTGTAGCCAGTGGATAGGGACAGATTCTGAGTGACACACCAGGGCGCCAACCAATTCTGGAGCATGTAGAATGTTCTAGAGAAGTGCCACCACCATTCAGCTTTTATATATAAGGGAGATGACCAGAAATTGAAACTTGCATGTGGTCTTCTGTTCAGCACACTGTCTCTGAATGGGCAACTGTGCTGCTGCTGCTTCCCTACAAATGATAGTTTGAAACTTGAGAGCCAGTCTGATCCTTCTCACCTGAGCAGGGGTGGGGGTGGGATCAAGGCTTTCCAGTGTTGGGTTCCAATCTCCTGTAAATCAGAGAGCTAATTACTAGCAACTTTCATTTTGCTCCTGCCCATGCTGCCAAAGATGACCCCACTCCTGTGTGTTAACAGTATCTTTCCTCTCTTTCTTGTCAGCTGTGTGGCTGTGGCCTCCTGGGCGTAGGAATATGGCTGTCGGTGTCACAAGGAAACTTTGCCACGTTTTCTCCCAGCTTCCCGTCACTGTCAGCTGCCAACCTGGTCATTGCTCTCGGTGCTATCATCATGGTGACTGGCTTCTTGGGCTGCTTGGGTGCTATCAAGGAAAACAAGTGCCTCCTCCTCAGTGTAAGTTGGCCAAGCGGGCTCCCTGGCCAAAAGGGCCTCGTGTCCCAGGGGCTCCTCTCAGGCTCTCCCCCCCCCCCAGCCAAGCAGGCAGCAGAAAAGGTGTCAAGGCCTTCCTTCCATACTCTGGGGGCCCTGGAGGCTCATGCACCCACTGGAGGGTCTTTTCGTTTTTTCAAGGAAGTGAAGGCGTCAGAGTCAGACTCTTTCTTACCTCTGTCTTGCTGTATTTGTTTCCACATTGTCAGGGTTGGCTGGACTTAGTCCAGAGAACACTGCAGGAAGCACGTGCCAGGAGATCTACTGTTCACTTTTGGCTTTGCTAGCCCAGAGCATTGAAAGGCCAACCACTGGGAATCACAGTGCTATACCTACATCACTGCAGGAAGTACAGATATAACCAGTGTTCCCTCTAAGCACCACAGTCTTGTGAGCAGAAATTCTACCTTGTGAGTGAAAAAGCTAGTAGCATTAAAGTTGAGAGCAAGTCTACATTTGACTATTGCATATTTTTTTAGATTATTTCCATAACTCTAACCCTAATCTTGCAGAAATCTCAAAATGAATTCTTTTAAACTACATTTAAGCTTTGTTTTAAGAATGATTTAAACTTTATAAGAGAAAACAGAATCAAGTCAAATTTCATTACACAAAATGTCCTCTACAGTGGTAGACCAGGCCTACGGAGAACAGGTCTACCCGCCCCAGTCTGCTATATTGGTTAGACCTGGCCTTGGACCGTTGCCTTGATCTGAACATTAGAAAACATACCGGCACTTGAAGGGGGGGGGGGCAGAACTGTTGCAGTCTACTTTGTGTTTTTTTTAGTGAAATGTGACAACCAGCATTACAGATCAAGTATAACAGAGGTGGAACACTGTCAGAGCACTGCCTAACCTAACAAACAGGAAGTTGCTTAAATGTTATCAACCTGCCCAAACTACTTATTTATTCAGATATTTATATCCCACTTTTCCCTGTGACTCAAGGCAGCTTACTTCTCATACTGAAAAGCATAACAGGGGTGTGCAAAAAAATTGTGTGTGTTTTTTCTGGCTCAGTTAAAGCCTATGGGGACCATTATAGTCAATGGGCCACATAAGCTATAATGGAGAACGGATCTGAGGGTATCTGGGGCTGGGGGGGCTGTTTTATGAGGTAGAGACACAAAATTTGCAGCATAGCTGCTGGTGCCTCTCCTCAAAAAAAGCCCCCAAGTTTCAAAAAGATTGGACCGGGGGGGGGGGGCCAGTTCTATGCGCCCCAGAAGGAGGTGCACCCATCCTCTGTGATTTCCTGTTGAAGCTTGGTTGTGAGTTGAACAGAAATCCTCTGAGCTAGTCTCTGAAATGTTGTGCACCAGCGCCCCCTAGTGCAGCACAGCACAAGTTATATCCTGAGCCCCTAAAGGCTTGAAATACATATATGTGGGGAACCTGATTGGCCCAGGCATCACAAACACACATATCATGTCCAATGCCTATCTTACTTCCAGATGGTGTTTGCTGCCGAAAACAACCATGTTTCTTGCAGCAATCATCAAATGCATTTTTTGGCATTCCACTAGCCACTGTGGATTCAGCAGACATCTCTCACATATGTTTCGATATATCCCTACATTTGTAAGAGCTAGAACCTGCTTTTTGAAAAATTAAAGTTCAGATTCTTAGGTTCTACATGGACAGCAGAGTGGCAGCCATGCAGCACAGCTATTGTGGCAAAATAAAACAAAGCCCAGCAGCACCTTAAAGACTAATAGCATTTATTTTCAATATGAGATTTTATGGGTCACAGTGAGTAATTCACACCAAGCCTTGACCCCCCCCCCCACCTTCTGCATAAGATATCCCCGTACGATGTTCCTACACATACCTCTATCTGAAGTAGAAAAGAGTAAGAGTCCAGGAGCACAAAGTTTGTGGCAGGGTCTGAGCTTCCATGGGTCCCTGAAAACAATCAGATACAGTAGAAGTGAGCCGTGACTCAGGGAAGCTCCTCCCCTGCCACAAATTTTGTTAGTCCTGAAGGTGCTCCTGGACTCTGGCTCTCTTCTACTGCTACAGACAGAGGAACTAACATGGTGACCCATCTTGATCAGTCTGAGGAAGTGAGGTATGGTTCAGGAAAAACTCATATTGAAACAAATGTTAGCCTTTAAGATGCCACAGGGCTTTTGTTTTATATGCATTATAAGGGGGGAAATCTCATAAATGTTTCAGATAAATTAAAAACCCACAATATTCACAAAAGAACAGTGTTTGAGAATTTATACCGGAAAATGTCAAAAGACATAAGAAAGTGGCAGTGTGTGTCAGCTGCTGCTGTGGACATAATTTTATTCTGAAGATTCTTTTCAGTGTCACTTATATGCTTCCATTGCAGTTTTTATTGAAATGACTCCAAATTTCTTCTTCGACACTCTCAGGCATCTCTCTCCTTCTCTGATTGTAATCTCTTTCTTTGTTTTTCCCCCTTTTCTTCCAGTTCTTCATTGTTTTGCTGATCATCCTCCTTGCTGAGCTAATCTTGCTCATCTTGTTCTTCGTTTATATGGACAAGGTAAGCATTAGTGCAGCCCTGTAGTGTACCATAGGTCATCTGCTGTTTTTGTCACTTCCCCCCCCTAAGAAAAAAGCTGCTTATTTCCCCCACCAACTGGATGGAACTAGGTCAAGGACAATATGGAAGATGGGCTAAAGAGAAAGGTGGCCTTAGTGGAAGAGACAACCCTGTCCGTGGATACAATACGAACTTCTTCATGGCTTCCATGCAGTCACACACCTGGATACTGCGCCTGTGCTGGACCGACGTCAGAACTTGTAGAGCTGTCCTCAGCCGTTTTTGCATGCTTCCTCCTCAAGCTCTGCGCATGCCCAGACCTGGGGGGGGGGCAGGCACGCCCCACATGCAACTCCTTTCCCAGACCTCCATTTGTCTTCTTGTCGGTCCTTCATCACCATTTCTTGAATCTTCTTTCATCTTCCTTCTCTTCATTGTATCCTCCCTATTTTTAAAAAATCCCTTTTTGTTAGTGTTTTGTGTGTCTTTTCCATCACCCCCAACTCCCTTCTCCCCCTCCCCCCTCCCCTGTGGAAGTCTCGGGATTTGGTGCAGTTTTTTCCAAAAAGTGTTCCTGTGGAGCTAAGCTCCTGTCCTCTAATGGCTACCAACTCTGTCTTCTTTGCCTCGGAGAGGGACATCACGTTGAGTCGTGCCAGCATTGTGCAGAGTTCACCAAGCAAGCCTGCTGCAACCGTTGCTCTTGGACTCTGAGGTCACCTCTTTGAATTAGCCCCGGTAGCACCGACGTCCTCCTCAGTTCGGTCCGCATCGTCTATGCCACTGGGTGCTCAGATGGGCATATCGGTACAGACAGGCATCATGGGCACCCTCGGCATCAAAGGAAAAAAAGTCTGAATGGCCTGCTAAAGGTCCTTCTGATTCATGTGGCCATGGCCATAAAAACCGCAGATACACCAACGATCCAACCTGTGGGTTTGGGTGCCTTGAGGTCTTCAACATTGACCAGAGAGCCTCCATCCCCAATCTTAGCAGAATCAACTCCACCACTGGCCGCCTTCCTTCCACTGGCGCAGGGTGTTATCCCTACTTCCTCCCAATCTTCATTGCTACATTCCACTCCTCCAGCATCGCTTGTTACCAAGATCTGCCACACTGCTGAGTGTCACCAGATTGAAGCACCTTTTGCTCTCATGGTTGGTCTCAGTTGTGGAGCTCAGTTCATTCTGCCAGTAGATACTATGTCTGCCATTTAAGATCGACTTCATATCAAAGTTGGACCCGATACTCATCGAGTTCCAGATCGTCTCCCCACTATAACAACCGGTCCTAAACTCAGCACAGGAAGCTTTGGTCTCCAGGCAGTCTCATCACCACTCCCAATCAGTAGTCCCTCTAAGCTGACTTAGTTTGAGCTAACTCACAGGTTTTTAGCCTCCAGCTCACACATTTTTGTCTTAGCTCAGGAAGGATGGCTCCAGAGCAAACTAATTTATGCAGTAGCCTAATTGCTCACTCACAACTGTAATACCAGTAGCTCACAAGGTGGAATTTTTGCTCACAAGACTCTACAGCTTAGAGGGAGCATTGCTTCTGATCCTATGTCTCCAGAGACGGACATGATTGCCGTCCTGACCATTCCCGTCAATCATCTCATGGTGACTCTCCTTGACACCACATCTCCACTGAGTCTGGGTGGGACCATTCTTGACCCCATTCGGACAACAAGCATCCAGATGCAACCTCTGACCATCCTCTGCTGCAGCCATCTACCCAGCCTTCTCACCTTGGTCCCTAGGTTCCAGTCCTTATTAACATTATGGATACTTCCCTGGAACCTTCTGAAATCACTTTTGATGTCTCCGATTCCTAATCTGGTGCCTTGTTACATGCCTCTCTGGAATCTGAGGTTGCTCCACAAGAATTCTTATCTCCATCAGGTGGTCCGAAAGAGCTAATCCATCAGATGGTCCAGATGACCTCTGAGATACCGAAAATGATGGACATCATCCACAAACTGGTTCAATCTGATGCCTGGTGCAATCCTTCCAATGCTACCTGTCCACCTAGAGGGTCTCAAATACACCTGGGAGAAACCAGCATCAGTATCACCTGTCAAAGCGATTTGAGGCACTGTACAAAGTGCAGCAAATGGATGCCGAATTTCTCACATCCAGCTCCCAACTCTGTCATCATTCACTCTTCTTCTTCCTCTAAAGAGTCTCATCAACGAGCTCCCCCAGACTGTGAAGGAAAGAAGCTTGACACCTTGGCCAGGAAGGTGTATGCTTTGACATCCCTGACAGCAAAAATCCATAATTATCTCTCCTACTTCTCTGCTTATTCCTTTCAATTGGAGAAAAAATTCTAGCACCAGAGCAGCAACATGCAGCCATTGTTGTTTCTGAAGCTTCCAAGGTCGCAAAAAAACAAACATGCTGTCACCTCGTCATCCCGTGTGCTTGCCACAGCCATTGCATTATGCCAACATGCCTGGCTATGTTCCACCTCTTTGCTTCCTGCGATACAGTTGAAAGTGGAGGATCTTCCCTTCAGCAGCGAGGGCCTCTTCCACTCTTCTACGGATGGCACTCTGAAGAACGTGGATGGCAGCTGGGAGAGAGCTCGGGACTTGGGAGACTCTCAACTTGCTGCACAGAAATTCTCTAAACCCAAGGCAATGGAAGCCATCTTTCCACCACTCCCAACATCATCCTTCACACTCCTCAGACACTTGGAAGAGGAAGTCTCTGCCACCAAAGCAGCCCAGCGTCTTCAGGAATAAGCAACAAGCTGAGAAACATCCTTCACAGTCCACTAAGTAGTCTGTTTGACTCCCTTCCTCTCAAGGAGGTTTCCCCACCATCTCCATTCACCCCACCCACGGGCACCAGGCTTCATCCTTACTATTCAGCATAGACAGCATCACCATGGATGTGTGGGTCCTCACTATCATATGGCTGAGGTACACTATAGAGTTCGTTTCACTTCCCCCATTTTTAGGGTGAAGCCACCACCAGCTGGAGACCTCCTATGATACTGTGGGTATCCATTGTCTCCTGTGAGTGTCCTTGAGAAGCAGCCGGGGGTACCACTTGCTGCAGCTGCCTCCTTTCATGCAGGGTGATTTGTGTGAATCATATTGGCCTTGATGATGTTGTGGAAGAGTGGGTCTTGCTCTGGGGCAGGTATTTTGGCACAGATGACTTTGTTGATCATGTCAGGGTAGAGATGGATGTAGATGTGAGGCAGATCCAGTTTTTTCCATTCCACAGAGTACCAGAAGCACCACACTTCCCCAAACATCCTCTTCACCTTCAGGTGGAATACCCTGGCTACGATGCCCTACAACCCTGTCCTGCGATGTACCTTCGATGCTCACATCAATGTGGAATTATGCAACTCAATCAAGTCCATCAAGTACATTTGCAAGTACATGAACAAGGGCACTGACTATGTGACTATAGCCCTAGAGAATGAGAGAGATGAGATGAAGTTGTGAAAGAGTGGCTGGGACATCAACAGCTCTGAGGTGATTTGGAGGATCCTGGCATTCCTCATTCATGAAAGGTACCCCACTGTCTTCCATCTCGCTGTTCACCTCAAGAATGGTCAGTGTGTGTACTTCACCTCCAACAACTTAGCCAAGAAACTCAGCAACTCTCCTGATAGAACACTCTTGGCTTTCTTTGAGCTATGCAAAACTATTTTGCAAGAACCCTCCTGTACTCTGAGGCCCCTTCTTACTTTTTGTGGAAGAATAACAAATCCATGAGAAGGAAGCAGGGGAAGGATGTTGATGGCTGGCCAGGAGTGAAAAAGGACCATGCACTGGGAAGGGTGTACAGCATCCACCCAAAAAAACACTGAGTGTTACCACCTCCGCCTGCTGCTACATAAGGTCCATGGCCCCACGTCCTTTTCAGATCTGAAGACAATGAATGGTGTCCTTCACCCCACTTTCCAGTCTACATGACAAGCACTGGGATGCTACCTTGGAGGAAGCTGCCCTGTGTGAGTCTCCCTTCAAGCTGCGGGAGCTCTTCACAGTAATGTTGGTGTTCTGTCAATTCCCCAATCCTCTGAGTCTTTGGGAGAAATACAAAGACAGTCTCTCAGAGGACTGTAAACTCATTCTTTTCGATGAGAGCACCATGGCACACAAGGGGTGTTTTGAGGCACTGAGCATAACCCTCAAAGACACCAAGGGCAACGATGGAGTGATGGGGGGAGTCATTGTGCTGCTGGCTGGAGATTTCTGGCAGACTCTGCCAGTAGTGCCAAGGGGAACTTGAGCTGATGAAGTGAACGCATGTGTCAAGGCCAAGTACCTGTGGCCACCCATCAGGAAACTCTCACTAAGGATAAACATGAGGGTCCACCTGAGAGGTAATGTGTCCGCTGGGGAATTCTCTGAACTAATTCTTTGAACTCCTACTGAAAATAGGGGATGGAGAGTATCACCAGTCATGCCTGGCCTTAGTAGTGAGGACCTTACCAGAACTAACAGCCAGGATCTACCCTGATATTGCCAGTATCACAGAGAGGTCCATGGAGCATGCCATTCTGATCCCCAAGAATGACTGGGCCACCATAATTAATGAAACTCTATCCTTAACTCCTTCAAGGAGGCAGAAATGGAGTACCGATCTGTGGACTCAGTGGTGCAAATGGATGACATGGTTCACTAACCTGTAGAGTTACTCAACACCCTTATCCCTCCTGGCTTCCCAACCCACAAGCTTCTCCTCAAAGTGGGGGCTCCAGTGATGCTGCTGTGGAACCTCAACCCATCCAAATTCTGCAATGGCACCAGACTGAAAGTGAAGGCCCTGTACAGGAACATCATTGAGGCCACACTGCTCACCAGCAGTGCTCGGGGAGAGTCAGTGTTCATACCACTCGTATAATTAGAAAACCAGTTCAAGAAGCTGCAGTTCCTCCCTCAAGGTCTGCTTTGCTATGGCCATCAACAAGTTCCAAGGCCAGACACTGAAGGTGGCAGGAATTGACTTCAGACAACTGCTTCTCACATGGACAGTTCTATGTGGCCTGCTCCAATGAGCTCACCAAGCAGCCTGGTGATCCTAGCACCCGAGGGCAGAACCACCAATGTGGTCTACAGAGAGGTCCGCCAGTAGAGGGGGGGGGAACAGTACATATGTCTCACTTCATTTCTTACACTACAATCTTCTCCATTAGAATTCCTACAACAAATGTTACCTTTCAAACTTCACATCATCAGTATTATAACTGGGTTTACTGTAGCAAAGCATGGGTATCAGACTAGCTTAAAATAAAATCAAGTCCCTTTCTCCCTTTCATTGTAAAGATGTCTTTCCCCTTATACCTTTGCAACAAAAGGCACTAGATACTTACCATTAAAAAAAAACACCTGGGAATTCAGAGAACCCAAGATTATAAACAGTATTAAAAAAAACAAACTCGAAGGCCTTGGTCGCATTGAGGTGCTGGGAGACCACTGGGGGCAAGGGCAGTGAAAACACATGGAAATTGGGCATGTGGGAGCCCTGTTGCCCCTACACGGTGTCAGCGGCCACAGCGGCAACAAGGAAATCTACAAGCTTGCCCTGGTGTGGAAAGCCACCAATGCTGGCAACAACTGGTGAGGAAAGGATGTTAAGCCGATACACTGTAACAATGTATGACAGGGTGGGGGGGAGTAGACCTTTGAGGCATGAGGTCTCCCCCACCCTTGCCTGGGTGGCGCGCACTGTCCTCTGAGGCCCAGCCGAAGGAGACATTCTTCCTGAGGTTTTGTGTCCTGAGCTGGAGTCCCTGTGAGGGTGCTGAGAAGACAAACGCGAGCAGGCTGCTCTTCCTGTGCAGGCTATGAGCCCAAAGGACAACACGTTTTGTGAAAAGTGTCCTTTCTCCGGGGTTTCTTGCACCATAGATCCTGCTCATGTATTCTCACTCTGCACATCACAATGAGAGAGAGAGAGAGCATGCTGTCGTGGAGATTCTATAACAGGCCTTTATAGACTGTGATGATGGATGAGTAGGATGCTTCTACTCTGTTATGGCTGTGCAGGTCAGTTTTTCTTCCCATTGAATTTTTCTCATCTCTTTTATGACACTGTGCCAGCAGTAGAGGCGGGACGCAGGGCCAACAGAACGTAAGATCCCAACTAAGCCCCGATCCACTAACAAATTACAGAGAATGCACATACGATCCATGTTGAGAGTATGTTTGATTTTCCTCTCTACATGTGTTGAGTAATTCTCTTGTTACATTCGTGGCGTGCATGCTTCAACATGTGATTCAAACCCCACATTTGTCCAGGTCCTGTTCTCTGGTTTCATTTCTAAAGGGAAGGTGTGCTATGCCTACATCTATGCAGGATGTGCCTTTGCTCACTGTAATATATGTACAGGACTAGTGTGTTGTGGCTACACTGGCGTGACGTCATTCTGGTCTGGTAATGATGCTGCATGCACATCAGCCACTCTGTCTTTAAGTTTCCCCAAGAAATCCCTCTCTAACACTGAGCTAACATTGAGTGAGTGACCAGCCCACGATGCCCCCATGAGTGAAGTAGAAGTATAAATGCAGTATTTTATTTATTTATTTATTTATTTTACCTCATCCTCCCTGCCAAAGCACAGCTGGATCTTGGAAGGATGCAGGCAACACTTTACTGAAATGTATATTGAAGGAGTTGTTTTCTTCGATGTTTATAGCTGTGAAAATTGTGTGTGCCTCTGTCAGTATGTGATCAGCTTTTAGAATGATTGCCAATATGTGGCAGGCATGTGGTTTCTGTAAATGTCCCTCACTTTCCAGAACTGAGAGAAAATATATTTCTCCCAAAACTGTAGCAAAGCACTTACCAGTACTTAAAATTGGAACATAACCTTGCTGACATTTATCTCCGTGACACAGGTCAGTGAAAGTGCAAAGGAGGACTTGAAAGAAGGGCTCAAACTTTATAACACAGAAAACAACGTGGGGCTGAAGAATGCTTGGAATATCATTCAGGCCGAGGTAGAGCAACATTTTGGTGTATTTCTTTGTAAAATGACACAAAGTCCCCTCCTGTACTGTTAATAATTTTGGAGTCTTATCTGCACCTTACTGGCATTAATTAATTGCATTGCTATACAGCAATTTGCATATTGGCTTATGTAATTTATAACGTTATCTGTCATCCAAAGAGTGGAAAGCTGTCCTTAAAATGCTGTGCAACACTAAAACGTAAGCTAGCAGGATTTCCACAAGATAAAATTGGTGTCCCAAAGAAGAAAAATGCTGAAACGTTAACATTTGAAATAAAGAGTAACCCTCGCTCCCGAAAGCTCCAGTTTTGTGGAAGTAAGACCCTCTCATCCGATATCCCTTCTCGAGTGGCCACATTTCACTGGCTTTGCTCCTGAGCCTTTGAGCAACAGCCAACATGCAGAAGTAGAACACATAAAGCTTCTCCATTGGGGGAAATGGCGTGGGAAATATTTCAGCTACTCAGTTTATTCATGCAAAGCTGCTGCTCAGATCACATGAATGGAACCATTAAAACAAGTTGGTAACCCTATGTAAAACGTTAGGGGTTTGATTTAGTTAGATGGTTACTTGCAGAGTCACTTACTTAAAAACCCCACCACTACCCAAAAAAGGCTCAAAGACAGACGGTAAAAACAACTAAATCAGATTTTTCCTTGCCAATCCCTTATTGATATGCAAGGAAAATGCAGTCAGAACCATCATTGCCTGGACCAAAAAGAATTCTGTCCCATAAAAATTCTGTATCCCTTCCCTAATGCCCTCCAGTATCCATTTTCTTCTATTTGTTGACAATCTATAGGTCTGCCCACCATCACAGCAGTCACTGGAGTTGTCTGAGGGGATGTTACCTTTAATGAACGTGGAGCCTTTCTGCTTACTACATACTTTAGAAGGAAGTGAAACATAAATGCTGTTCCTTCACAGGATATACCAACACATGTCTTTCTTTAATGTGGGCGCCAGTTTCTCCTTTGTATGATATTTCTGCAAATCTTGGAATTCTCCAGCAGCATGAATGCAAAGTGCATCAGAACAGTGGCATTTGGCCTCTGCACAGGGCACTAACACAGAGACGGTAGGAAACATGTGGAAGGAACTGAAATGGTTAGCAGGCTTTGGAGTTTAAGTGGAGAAATTTTCAGATCATAACTTGGAGAGGCTCCTTAATGTCTCAGGTTCATGAGTCATGTGGCTGCTTTTGAAATAGATAAGCTAATAATATGGTGATACATCTGATTTATCCATGGGTACATTCTAAAACATGCTTTATATCAGTGTAAGGTCTTTTCTGATCTTTGTCCCACAGATGCACTGCTGTGGCGTTACCAGTTATACAGACTGGTACCCAGTGCTAGGTGACAACACTGTGCCTGACAGATGCTGTATGGAAAATTCCCAAGACTGCGGTCGGAATTCAACCAACACAAATTTAGTGTGGAAAATGGTAAATTCTAGTTTATGTGTAATCTTAATTTTGTCTTTAGTGTCACTCAGGAAATTATCCTAACTTCAGTTTCTTTCCTGTTTGTTCAAGACTATCATTAATCACTGAGCATGAGTGAAAACACAGAGAGAAACAGAACTGTCCATGTTTAATAGATGGCAACAACTGACCCCCACCACCACCACCACCAAAGGAAGAATGTGGTCTGAAGTTCATTCAAACACAATCTGCTCTTGACACAGACCAGAGCACTGACTCCACTTCTCCTGGAATAGAGGCTGAAGTCCTGGCCAAAGAGGAAGCTGAGCACCTGGGACTCCCCCAGAAGGAGGCATCCGAGATACCTCTTTGATAATCAAAAGTATTCCCACAGAGAGTGGGTCAGCTCTAGGGATGGACGCGAACCAGGGAAATGCAGTTTGGTTCGTGGTTCGTGGCAGACCCATGAACTGAACCGCAAACCATCACAAACTAAAAAGGCTTCATACAAACTACTTCAGTTTGTGACATGTTAGGGAAAAAACCCAGCATGCTAGAGACACCAAACACATGGGGAATGTCTGGATGACTCTCCTCTACCATCCCTCCATGTTTGGTGAGGATTGAATATATGGGGTCCAAATTACACCCCCCCCCCCCCAAGTGCCTTCAGGCAAATGACAGGTGCAACTTCAGGAGGTCCAGGAGTGTATAGAACCCCCCCCCGGCATGCTAGAGACACCAAACTCACAGTGGATCTCCGGCTGAATCTCCTCTAGCTGCCCTCCACGTTTGGTGAGGGTTTCATTTATGGGGTCTGAGTTACGGCTTCCCAAAGAAGGTGCCCCCATCCTCCATTGTTTCCAATGGAGGGGAAAAAACTAGAAGCCCAGCAGAACAGAATCAGAGTCCCTGAGAATGTCTGCAGTAGAAACTGAAGGGGAGGGGCATTTCAGTGAAATGTGCTGTGAGACCACTTGAGACCCAAACCAGCATGCCAACGACATATGTAGACGTGGTGGCTTAGAGCGTGCAGTGGCCTATATAGACATGATGGCTCAAAGTTCTCCCTAGATGTATGTAGACTTGGTGGCTCAAAACCCTGATTCCACCTTAGACCCAGACCCAAACCAGCATGCGACGACATCTGTAGACGTGGTGGCTTGAAGCCCTGAGACGTATGTAGATGTGCTGGCTTGAAGCTGTAAGACATATGTAGACATGGTGGCTCAGAGCCTCAAACGCCGAAGGGCGATAACGTATGTAGAGACACGGTGGTCCAAAGCTCTGAATCCACCTTGGACGCAAACCCAAACAACACATGTGGACTTGGTGGCTCAAAGTCCTGAGATGTATATAGACGTGGTGGCTCAGATTCCTGAGCTCACCTCCGACCCAAACCAGGATGCAGCGATGCATGCAGCCGCGGTGGCTCGAAGCCCTGATATGTATGTAGACTGATGTACAACTTCTGAATGTATGTAGACTGATGTATAACTTCAAACTGCAAGAATCATTTTTAACATTTGTAGTGTGAGGCTGTATACAGTTAACAAATCAACAATCTTCAGAAAAAAACAATTCTTATCAAAGTCTGCAAAGTACTAAGGTCAAGCTATCATGTTTCAAAGACAAAAACTTGTCAGTCCTATTCAGAAGACGACTCATGAAATGAATACTTTAACTGGAAATTTAATCAATCTATTGTGTTGGACCTTTGTTTCGGACTTTTTTGTTATATAGTACTTTGTACCTTACATTGATTCATATTTCATTGCTATTGTCATATATTATACTATTTGGACACAATTAATGAGTAATTAGTTGCTGTAGATTTTCCGGGTTGTGTGGCTGTGGTCTTGGCATTGTAGAACCTGACGTTTTGCCAGTAGGTGTGATTGTCATCCTCAGAGGTATAACACAGAAAGATTGATCTTTCTGTGTTATACCTCTGAGGATGCCAGTCACAGCTACTGCCGAAACGTCAGGTTCTACAATGCCAAGACCACAGCCACACAACCCGGAAAATCTACAGCAACTAATTACTCATTAATTGTGTCCAAATAGTATAATATATGACAATAGCAATGAAATATGAATCAATGTAAGGTACAAAGTACTATATAACAAAAAAGTCCGAAACAAAGGTCCAAAGTACTGGATTTACTAATAAACAGTTATTTTCTCATGAAGCCCTGCGTTGTGTAACCTGACTAAGGACCCTGACACTACAATGCCAAGACCACAGCCACACAACCCGGAAAATCTACAGCAACTAATGAACTCCGGCCGTGAAGGCCTTTGACAACATCATGAGTGATTTTTTTTAAAACAATTTTTATTATAGGAATATTACATCACGTTCAACATCAAAATATTATAATTGATACACATCCCTTTTCCTTCCCCCCTCCCCCTCTTCTTCAGGCTTCCCTCAGTGCTCCCACCCTCTCCCTTATACCATTTCTTCTTACTCTTCTTATCAGTAACAAAAACAGTCAAAACACTTATTTATATACCGTTAACCTATAGTTCAATACATGAGTTTTTAGCTTTTCTCTGTCTCGGAGTTTACATACTCTATTCTCAATAGTTCTCTAAAGCAAACAAATTATTCTTCACATCCCAATCTTTCTCTAAATATTCTTTAAAATCTAACCAATCTGCAAAAAAATCTTCAGGATTTTTATTGTTCAGTTTCCTTGTGAGTTTAACCATCTCTACCATAAAAAGTAACTTCTTAATCCATTCCCAAATCATTGGTACTTTTTCTTGTTTCCAAGCTTGAGCATATGTCATTCTAGCCGTCGTAATTAGATACCACATCAGAGTTCTCTTAGATGCATTAACTTCTTCCATTTTGATCCCCAGAAGTAATACTTCTGGTTCTTTCTAAAAGTACATTTCAAAATTTTCTGCATCTCAGCATGTATCTCTGTCCAAAAGTCTTTAGCTCTTTCGCAGGTCCACCACATGTGGTAGAAAGACCCTTCTTTTTTCTTACATTTCCAACATTTGTTTGACATATTAACATTCATAAGCGCAATCTTTTTAGGCGTCATATACCATCTATACATCATTTTGTAACAATTCTCATTTATATTATTACAAGTTGATATTTTCATTGAATTTTTCCATAAATACTCCCAAGATGACATAGATATTTCTTTATTCATATTAATTGTCCACTTAATAATTTGTTCTTTTACTGTTTCATCCTCTGCATACCACTTTAACAATACTTTATATATTTTAGATATCACCTTATTACCTTTTTGCAACCACACAAATTCAATTTCGTTAGGTTCCTTCCTGAAACCATATTCTCTTTTATCAGACTTATAGAGATCATGTATCTGCCAATACTGTAACCAATCATAATCATAGCTTAATTCTCCCTTCTCTTTAATTTCCACCATCCTCCCCTCAATTTTCAAAGTATCTTTATATTGTAACCAATCTTGGCCCTTAGCATTTGAATGCGGCTTAATAACCTCAGCCGGAACTATCCAAAGAGGTCTCATTTCCCCCAAAAACCTCTTATATCTTGTCCATGTATCAAATAGCGTTCTTCTTATATAATGGTGTTTAAAAAACTTGTCCATCTTCTCTTTTCCATACCATAAGTACGCATGCCATCCAAATTTGCGGTCATGCCCTTCCAGCATTAACAGTTTTCTATTATCCAAAGTAATCCACTGTTCTAACCAGGTTAGACATACCGCATCGTGGTAAAGTTTAAAGTTCAGAAGTTGAAATCCTCCTCTCTCCTTGGCATCACATAAAATCTTCATTTTGACTCTACCTTTTTTCCCACCCCAAACAAATTTCGATACTTCCTTCTGCCAGACATTTAAAACCTTTGGCTCTCTCACAATTGGAATCGTCTGAAATAAAAACATTAAACGAGGTAAAACATTCATTTTGATCACTGATATTCTCCCCATTAATGATAAGTTTAAAGTGTTCCACTTTTCCAAGTCCAGCTGTATTGATTTCCATAGTTTTTCATAGTTATTCTTAAATAGGTCTATGTTCTTCATTGTCAACTCAATCCCTGAATATTTGGTTTTCCTCACTATCTCACACTGTACTAAATCTTGTAGTTCTTCTTGCTTTTTCTTTATTAGATTTTTGCACATCACCTTTGATTTCTTCTTATTGATATAAAATCCTGCCAGGTCTCCAAAATCTTTTATTCTTGTCATCAATAACGGCAGAGTTTTAAGTGGATCCTCGACCACAAACATAACATCATCTGCAAACGCTCTATATTTGTATGAGAAACCCCTAATTGTAATACCTTTAATTGCTTTGTCTTCTCTTATTTTTCTTAACAGGACTTCTAATATCCAGATGAACAGCAGTGGAGATAATGGACAACCTTGTCTTGTCCCCTTTTGAACTTTAAAATATTCTGTCATCTGTATTTACGTTTATTGATGCTTTTTGTTCCCAGTAGATAGTGATTGTTTACTTTAGCGTCTATACACAGCTTTGCGTTTTCTCTTTCTTATTGTTTATCTGTGGCTGTGGTTCTCTGTTTTTTTGAGATCATGCTTACATAGAGCAGAAGTTACACTGGGCATCTTAATTAGTCCATGCTTTTCACCACATGTCTTTGAAGCCTGAAGTGTTTTACAATGCAATCCTAAAAAGATTTACACCTTCCTAAACTCATTTACTTCAATAAACTTAGAAGGGTGTAACTCTCTTTGGGATTGCACTGATAATTCTACTTTATTGCTCAAAAGCAACCACCCATGGTATATAAAATGGTATATCATATGGCATGCTTTTGAGCAATAAAATAGCAGAGGTTGCATATGTTTGCTAATTTTTTTCCTTATTTTAAATATACCAGTAATCTTTTTCTTTTCTAGCTTCATTTCCGCAAAAAATCTGAAATATCCCTGGGGTTGTGCTTTTTATTCTCCTGTTAAAATCCATGGCACATTAATGCAGTGTGCGACTGCAATAAAAAAAAGGCCAACGCTATGCTGGGGATTATTAGGAAGGGAACTGAAAAGAAATCAGCCAGTGTCATAATGGTCCTGTATAAATCAATGGTGTGACCTCATTTGGAGTACTGTGTACAATTCTGGTCACCACACCTCAGCAAGGATATTATAGCATTGGGAAAAGTGCAGAAAAGGGCAACTAGAATGATAAAAGGGTTGGAACACTTTCCCTGTGAAGAAAGGTTAAAGTGCTTGGGGCTCTTTAGCTTGGAGAAATGATGACTGAGGGGTGACTTGATCGAGGTTTACAAGATTATGCAGGGGATAGAGCAGGTAGAGAAAGAGGTACTTTTCTCCCTTTCTCACAATACAAGAACTCGTGGGCACTCCATGGAATTGCTGAGCAGTTGGGTTAGAACAGATAAAAGGAAGTCCTTCCTCACCCAAAGAGTGATGAACACATGGACTCCACTGCCACAGGAGGTGGTGATGGTAGCCGGCTAGTGGCTACAAGTATGAATAGCTTCAAGAGGGAATTGGACAAACATATGGAGGCTGGAGCAGAGCAGAAGTCCATCTGTGGCTGGTTAGTAGCTATAGATAGGAACTCTTGGCCTCTGGGGCAAGTGATGCTCTGGTGCTGGGGGGGGGGACAACAGTGGGAGGGCTACTAGTGTCCTGGCCCCGCTGGTTGGACCTCCCAGTGGCATCTGGTATTTTTGGCCACTGTGTGACAGTGTTGGACTGGAGGGGCCATTGGCCTGATCCAACACTGGCTTCTCTTATGTTCATATGTTCTTAAATGTGTATTGTACAAATCACATTTACATTTTTCTGGATGTCTTCCTATTATACAACTCCCGTTTTCAGTATAGACATATTTGTAGATACTGTTATTTTAAAATGAGTAAGTGGAAAGATCAATTATTTGTAATCATGTTTACCAGGGAAAGAAATAGTGGATGGTGTTCTTTTCTAGCTCCTGTTGTCAATACAATCTGAACTTTCTTCCATGTTTGTGATGCTATTTCAGTCAACATGTTGTTTCAAAATCTTTTTTTTTTTTTGCAGGGGTGTTTTGAAAAAGTTCAGATGTGGTTTGATGATAATAAGCACATTTTTGGGACCGTTGGGATGTGTATCCTCATAATGCAGGTAGGTGTACCAAAAGTGACTAACATGACCATTGTTGCCTATTATGGAGCAGTGGGGGAACCAGGAAGGAAAAGCAGGGCTCCATCACTGCATTGCCTCAATAGTCTCTTCCTCCTGGCAGTCCAGGCCATCCATCTGAAATCTGGCTCTGACAATCAGACTGGCAAGACGGTGTGCTCTGCCCAAATAGCAGTTAGATCCGCTGAAAAATAGTTGAATTGGGGCTATTTAAAATGTTTTCCTTGAAGCAGAGGGTTTGAGCACATTTTCAAGAACAGGCTGGGGAGAACAGTTTGAAGCGGGAGGGAGTCGTTGCAAAAAAGAGCCGGAACAAACTGTTCCGGGTTTTCCTGGTCAAACGGCCAGTCTGAACTCGGCCTAAGGCTGAGTTCAGACTGGCAGTTTGGCCCGATAGAGGCACGTTTTAAAAAATGGATTAAAGGGGCCGGTTCACGCAGCCACAGCTGTCAGGCGTTCCCCAGCCGTACTCAACCCGTCCTATGACGATTCCCTACCACGTTAAAAAACTACCAGGTGAAAGCTGTAGCAAACCGTGGAGGGCGCGTTGATCCCGCTTCCCGGAAGTGTGCATGCTAAAAGCCGCAAACCAGCCGCATTGCTGCAGTGCTGTGCATAGGTGCATGCCGTCAGAGTGAAAAAAAAGCCTCTTAAAGCCACGCCTTCGCCAGGGGCGGTCCAACAGTGCGAACGCTCCCTTGTGCCTCCTCCCCAGTATGCTCCTGCATCAGTAGGTGCAGTGCGACCGGGAATTCCCGGCACAACTTGGTCTAGGTCTTTTTGTCCCGCCTCCCTCGCGCTTCATACTGCCAGTCTGTCCTCAGCCTAAGTGTAGTTTAGACATCTGCCAATCCATTGCTCACCTTATAGAATGACTGGAAAGGTTCTGAGTGATATGAGGAACTGAGTTGAGGACATCCTTGATTTGGGGATGATTCAACTTTCTGTGATCCCCTGGGCCTCACCTGTTGCACTGGTCCCAACTACTTTTGTGTGGATTATCAAAAAAAATCAATGCCAACAGAAAACCAGATTACTGCCCAGGATGGATGCTTTTTGAGAGATGTTGGAATCTGCTTCGGTAATTAGAACGGTACATCTGGGTAAAGGATTTTGGCAGATAGTTCTAGAGGAAGGAGCTAAGGCCAGAGCTGCTTTTATCACACCTCCTCGTACCCCTTTATGGGTCCAGAGTGGATTCTGGAACTCTTCAGCATCCGTCCAGAGGGTGCTGAACAGTTTGTTGAATGAGATGGGGAAATTTGCTGCTGTGGATATTGATGATGCTGATCACAATTTTGACAGCTAATAATAGACGGAAGATGAGGAAAATATATTTCCTAGCAAGTTTAACACAAGTTGTCACTCCCTCTGTATTCAGTAATTCATAAAGTTTCAATTACATTCAATAATTCTGGTGACACAATAAAATAATCAATTACACTATCACTGCAGTGATTGATACATGTGCAGTCACCTCCCCTGCCCAACCGAAAGCAGTCGTTTTCTATGGTTAAACCATTGTTAACAATAAGAGATGCAAGTCTTTTTCCAGCACTGTTTATTTTACTATTCTTAGATTTATGCAACTCAAAGAAACATTCGATAGAATTATTTGATAACTGTTTCCCAAAACTTTCAAGGTGTAAACCCTTGTTAGTTCTGCAAGTATCGACATTTAGATCCCCCAAGTGTGCAGAAAAATCTCTTTAGCCTCCACATGGCCCCAATCTGTGGATTTAGATATCCACAGATGGCAGCCATGAGTGGCTAATAATATATAGATTGGCAGCTGATGTCTCAGATACAGGTATGGGAATGAAACATCCAATGGCCTAGCTAAACAGGAAGCTCATTCCTCAGATCGGTCTTCTGTCCAGAAGGAGTCCATCATAGAGTTTTGCTGATGTCATCTCAACTTGTTTGGCCTCCCTCAGAGTTCCTTGTCTGAGAAGGAACCCCCTCCCCCCAGTTTACTTTGAATTGTACACTGTATCTGGAATTTGTATATGGAAGCCCAAATTCCCCTCAGCCTCCTGTCCATATGCCCTGTGATAGTTGGCTAATCGTAGTAGTCTACCTGACAGTTGTTATAAGAATTAGTAAGCATGGGAAAGCCTTTAAACACTTATAAGAAATATTAAGCATGATGGTGCTAAGAGTTGTGTTCTTTCCTTCTTTCTTTTGCTCTCTCTCTCTCTCTCAGATACTTGGCATGGCCTTTTCCATGATTCTCTTCCAGCAGATTCACAGAACTGGTAAAAAATATGATGCCTAAAACGTCATATTATTAACCTCAACACCATGTCTCTCTTGCCATTGAAAAGGAAATGGTGAACCAGAGAATCGAGCTTTGCCCTGTCTGGGGCCTCCATCCCACCCATCAATCTACAGCATGTGGCTGATAAGACCGGAGCACAACATGTGACTGGATTTACTTATCGGTTTCTTTTTATTCACTATTTTTTGCCAAAGAAGAAGGGGAACTTATAAAAAGCAAATCAGTTTTCTACACTAATTCAAAGGACTGTGGTTGAAACTTTTCTCTAACTACATTTAAGGAGCAACCTTTACTGTACTAATCTCTTTAAGACTTGTGAAGGTAACCCCACTGATGTGCATTTAGCTTCCTCAGAGAGTCCTCCTAAAAGTCTTCTAGTAGGTCAATAAACTGCCTGTGCCCAACACCACACCACATTGAGAGACTTGGAAAAGCCACTCAACCGCTTGGATGCAGTTTTTTTGTACCTTACTGTGTATAGTAGAATTTATTAACCTGATTTATAACTTTTTACTGTTTTTTCCTCTTTTCCTATGTTATTCTCAGAGTAACTTCATGCAGTCTTTGAAGGATGCTATTTTTAAACTTTGAAATCTAAATGCAGAAAGAAAAAATGCAGCCTAACTCCAAACATCTTCTTATGGCCACATTGTTGCTCTCAGCTGCGCACCGACAGAGTGAAACTGTGATAGGATGTGCCCCTACTGTGTACCTAGGCATTTAAGTTTACGTGTAACGACATCACCTACTGCATAGGTGTGCTCATAAGAGAGCTAGGATTAGAGTACACATTTGGAATCAAAACTAGATTTGCTGCCGCATAATGTGTTGGAGGAGCCTGAGTGTCACAAAAAAGATTCTGGGTAGGATCCGTTGCAAAATTTCCACTTGTGCTGGAGCTCCTGTGCAAGCAAACGTTTAAGGAAAAGTCCCTGGTAGAGGCACTTAGACTAAGTCAAACTTACTGTGTTTTTGCTTGTGCAAATCTTTTGCAACTTCTTTCTAGACACTATAATATAGTGAAGGAAAGCTCAGACTAGGTGTTGCACAAGCTCTTGAGCAAGTGGAACTACACTAAGTCGGTTTATATTTCTACTCACCCATCATTGGATGCAAGCCAAGATATTCCCCAGCTTTCCTGGCCTACTTCTTGCTTCTGGGTATTCTTACAACACAACAATGACGATGCATTTTGAAATTCCACCCATGCCCTAATTTGGATGGTCCAGGCAAGCTTGGTCTCCTCAGGTCCTGGAAGCTAAGTAGTGTTGATCGTAGAACAGGAGAATCACAGAGTCGGAAGGGTCCCTTCAGGCCATCTCGTCCAACCCCCTGCTAAAGCATCCCTGACAAGTGTTTGTCCAGCCACTGCCTAAAGACTGCCAGCGAGCCCCTGCTGACTATTTGGATGGGGAGCCACCAAGGAAGTCCACGGTTGCAACGCAGAGGTAGGCCAGGGCAAACCACCACCTCTGAACATCTCATTCCTTGAAAACCCCCTGAGGGGTCACTGTGATTTTACAGCAAAAAAAAATGTGTGTGTGTGTATTACTATGCACGATCTACTATCAGATGCGGTCTTCCATTTGATTTCTTGCAAAAACCAGAGCAGCAAGTGTTAAAGTACAACAGGGAACAACAGGCTTTTTTTGCTGTACAACCCTGCAGTTATTAAACCCAGAATTTCCCCCAGAATGGTGTGCAAGGCCACGTGAATGACAGAACTGCTGCTCTGCTGGAAGCAATTAGTGAAGTCATTAGGGATTCCTTTGAACTCCTTCAGATCAGGTTATCCTGGCGGTGGGAAGTGCTGTCAAGCCACAACTGACTTATGGCGGCAACCCCTGGAGACGTCCCCTGCCTCTGCAGAGCGACCCTGGGCTTCCCTGGAGGCCCCCGCTCCAAGGGCTCACCAGGGCCGACCCTGCCTGGCTTCCGGAATCTGGCCGGATCAGGCTAGCCTGGGCCACCCAGGTCAGGGCCGGGTGACCCCGAGGGTCGTCGTTGTGCCACAGGGCCCCTCTGCCGTGGGTGTGTTTGGGCCCTCCAAGGTGCAGCGGAGTGGACGTCCCCTGAGAAGCAGCTTAGCTATCTGAGACCTAGCTGTTGGGATCACGGCCCCTTTCCGGTTAGAAGGCATGCCAAGAAGCCACTCAAAAACTTTTATCCACTGTAAAAGGAAACATTCAGGAATGTAAGAATGAAGTACAGAAAAAAGTGTGCCTCTGCCATTAGCCGTTTGTGGAAGACTGCATCAAAGCAGTCTAATTTTCCACAAAGACTGCGTGTTGGAGGAGCTGAGCTTCCCCTACGGAGAAGGTTCTCTTTCCACTTTGCTTCCAAAGCAAGTTCAAGGCAGGCTTCTCTTCAGGGTTAGAGGCAGCCAAGAAGCTGGGCTTGACCTTGGCTTGGAAGCCTTGATGTCCAGACAAGGACCACGGGACGAGTCCCTGAAAAATCTTAAATCAAAACTCACTCTCAGTGAGCTTTGCCTCCTGGTGCCCAGCCGTGAGAGCAGGTGAATCCTCCTCGAAACATGACCTATTTAACACTATCCCTACAAGGCGGGGATTTTTTCCCCATTGTTTGTAGTAGGGAGTATGAGGGAGCCATCAATTGCAATAAGTAACTGTAATGTGGCTCTGCCACATTCAGTCACGTGTGAGCCTTCATTTTCTACCATAGACGTCAATGTCCAAGGCATTTTAAAGTGTGACATGATTTTAAGCATCTTTAATTGCCTCTGTTTTGTAATAGGAACATCTTTTGAGCACATATACACCCCTTGGGAATTAACTTCAGGCACAAGTCACTGTCCCTGGGGCCCCAAAGAACACCTGACCCCTCTGCCTGCACTTTTGATGACAGAATCCTGAATGCTCCTCTGCCCCCCATCCTGCCTTTCCAGAGAAGAAAAACTATTTTAAAAAGGATGCTCTGCTAAGCCCTTCCTATGGACAGGCTGTAGGAATTTTCTGGGAGACTTCAAATATGCAAATCTGTAAACTGAAGCAGCATCGTGCAAGGACAAATTTACTGTGGGATTCATTTAATCATATAAGCTGTCCTAGAAGTGCCCAGCCCATGATGTGAATTAAGAGTTCACACTGTGATCCGTAAGAGGTTCCTGCTGGACCAGACAATCTAGTCCAGTATCCTGTCATGCCCAGTGGGCAACCAAGAGAACATGTAGGCCAAGGCCTTCACAAGAACGTAACAGCATAGAAGCCGAGGTCTTCATTAGAACACAAGAAGAACATAAGAGCCTGCTGGATCAGACCAGGGGTCCATCTAGTCCAGCATCCTATCTAATATAGTGGCTAGCTGGTTATTGTGCAGGGCCAATAACACCGCTTGGAGGCCAAGACTTTTGCCCAATGTTGCTTCCTAGAGCTTGTATACAAAGGTTTGCTGCCTTGCTGGCTGTGCAGGTCCCCTTTAATTGCCATGGCTAGTAGCCACTGATGGAAGTATCCTCTATGAATTTACCTAGTGCCCTTTTAAAGCCGTTGGTCATTATGGCCATCACTAAATCCTTTGGCAGTGAATTCCACATTTTAATTACTCATTGAATAGAAGAGTTAGATCCAGCAGGTCCAGTAGCACCTTAGAGAGCAACAAGATTTTGGGGATATGAACTTTCAAGCTCCCTCAAGAGTCAAAGTATCTGAATCTTGAAAGCTGATACCCACAAAATATTACTGGTCTTTTAGGTGCACCTTGGCTTGAATACCACTGAATAAAGAAGCGGTTCCTTCCATCCATCCTGAACCTATTTCCCATCAGCTTCACTGGGTACGCCAGGGGAGAGGGAGGCCAAGCGCTCTTTGACCACATTCTCTACTTGGCGTGTGATTCTCTAAACCTCTATCATGTCCCCCACCCCCCATCTTCTTTAAACTGAAAAGTCCCAGGCTCTTTGGTCTTTCTGCATAGGAAAGTTGGTCCAGTCCCTAAATCATCTTGGTTGCCCATTTCCCTATTTCCCCCCCGCTCCGCAGTGTCCTTTCTGAGATACAGCAGCCAAAGCTGCACAACAGTATTCCAAATAAGGCTGCACCATAGATCTATATGATGGTGTTACGATATCGGCGGTTTTATTTTCAGTGCCTTTCCTCAGACTCACCAGCATGGAGTATCCACCGCTGCTGCACACGGAGTCAGCATTGTCATTGGGCTATTCACTGTGACCTCAGGGCGACTCCCCCAACTATCTACCGCAACCTCTTTCGGTTTTAGCAAGTTCAGACCTCATCCGCATCTACTGGAGCATTGGTTCCAATGTGCATCACCTTCCCCTTACATGCACTGAACTTCATTTGCCACAGCAGTGCCCACTGTCCCAGTTCAGACAGACCCTCGTCTGATTCTTCACAATCCACTTTGGTTTTCACCATCCGGAATAATTTTGTGTCATCAGCAAACTTCCCCCAAGTCCAGATCGTTGATGACCAAATTAAATAGCAGCAGCCCCAGGATCAAGCCTTGTGGGATTCCACCGCCCACTTGCCTCCATTGCGAGAACGACCCATTTATTCCTCCTCTTTGCTTCCTGCTGTTCAAACCAATTTTAATCCGTAAGTGGACCCATCCTCTTATCCCAGACAGCTAACCTTACATGGGAGTATTTGGTGAAGTACTTTTTGGAACCCCAAGTTCATAATATCTACCGGATCACCATTATCTACATCCTTGTTCCACTTTCTCAAAGAACTCCAAAAGACTGAGTGGGCAGGAGCCATGTTGGTTTTTACCTCAGCAGTCTTTCTTCCTCTATGTGCTTGATAAATCTGACTTTGATTACCGTTTCTACTAATTTGGCTGGGACACACATTTGGCTAACTGGCCTGTAACTTTCTGGTTCCTCTTTGGACCCCTTTCTAAAAATTGGTGTAGCATTTTCTACTCTCCAGTCCTTTGGTACAGAGGCTGATTTTAATGGCAAATTATATACAGTTAGTAGATCAACAGTTTCACATTTGTGTTTCCTAAGAACCCTCGGGTCTTTGCCATCAGGACCTGGAGACTTGCTCCTTTTTCATTCCCCCAATAGGTCTAGAACTTCGTTTCTCGTTACCTCAATTTGACTCATTTCTTCAGACTCCCTTCCTGAAAATAGTGGGTCTAGTGAGGGTACGTGCCCAGCTGCGTCCCTGGCCTGTTTCCTGCTCCTGATGTGTATAAAGAAACAGTTGTTTGTGTTTCTGCTTTTAGCAATCTGCTCCTCAAATTCTCTTTTTGCATGTGTAATGGTTAATTTACATTACTTTTGCCAGACCCTCTGCTCCCTTCTATTCACTTTGTTGGGGTAAATCTTCCACTTTTTAAAAGAAGCCTTCTTTGCCTTTTATGGGTTATTAACCATGCAGGACTCTTTTTAGACTTGGTGGTACCAGTTTGGTGTAGTGGTTAGGAGTGCGGGCTCTAATCTGGGAGTACCGGGTTTGATTCCCCACTCCTCCCCATGCAGCTGCTGGTGTGGCCTTGGGTCAGTCATAAGTTCTTTCAGAGCTGTTCTCTCAAGGGCAGTTCTCGAGAGAGCTCTCTCAGCCCCACCTACCTCACAGAGTGTCTGTTGTGGGGAGGGGAAGGGGAAGGGATTGTAAGCCGCTCTGAGACTCCTTCAGGTAGTAAAGGGTGGGCTATAAATCCAATTTCATCTTCCTCCTCCTCCTCCCTGACAAGATATCCATTCTATCTGGGTCTCAGTTACCGTGGTTTCAATGGCTTCCAATAATCCTTTAGTGATATGATTGCTTAGTTTCGCTTTCTGGTTCCTTTTAACTAATCCCCTTTTTTTTGTAAATTTCCCTCTTTTGAAGTCAAATGTGAC